TAATATCACTCTGCATTTGAGTTTTACAGATCGTTTGCTTCAAATAACTAATTGTGTTTTAAGTTTGAATAAGTCTATCAAGACTGTATAGATATTCCACGAATAGAAAACCGATATACCGCGGGCTAGATACAAGATAAAGTCTATTGAGGTGTTTGGCTATCACTCTGCAACTGAGCTTCTCAGCTTTGATTAACTGATTGCGTTTATAAGTTTAAATAAGTCTATCAAGACTGTATACATATGTCTAATGGAAAAACTGATATACTCTTGACCAGATACAAAATAGAGACTATTGAGGTGTTTGATATCACTCTGCAACTGAGCTTTTCAGATCCTCAGCTACAAACTTCTGATATTGTGTTTATAAGTTTGAATAAGTTGATTAAGACTGTATAGAGATACCGCTAATAGAAAACTGATATACTCTAGACTAGATATAAGATAGAGTCTATAGAAGGTTAAATTGACCCAGTTATAAACAGCTGTTTTTCCTTACACTTCAGTCAGCTGATTTATTGTGGCTTCCCTTAATTCTACCCAATTATCTAACTTATTCATTTTCTATCCTAGATAATTGCTTGCATACACATAACAAATCCTTACTTTCTACGTTGGGTGTTTTCTTTTCATAGTTGTGGCCTTAGACATAGCAAATCATAATGTTTGAAGCTTTCTATGTGCAATAAGAGTGCTTAGTAACAAGGGTGGTTGAATTGGTTCTATTATCTGGGTTTTTATAACCACTTTCACTGAGACTAAGCGTTTTATATAACATCAATATCGTAAATGATAAGATATGAGCAGATTTTGCTGTAGTAACATCATCAAACACTTTGTTTAAGTGGAATTGCAATAACCACAGACAACCATGATACACTTAAAAAGTTAAGAAAACCTCCTAAATACCATCTCTTTAAGACAGAGCTCTGGTCTGTTGGTAGTTAAATAAAAGTTTTAATTGTAGAGAAACACAAGAAAACTTTTAGACATAATTAATGGAAACCTAACAATTAGAAAAAACGATTAAATAACCTAGCTTGACGTACAAATTTAAAATCAACCACACCTTCAAAAGTTGAAAGGGAAGTTTGTAAAGACTGTAAACAAAGGGTAAAATCTTTTAAGAAACTTATCAATGGTGGATTGATCAATTTGTTTTATTGACCCAAATAACATAAATAAAGGTCTTGTGTGTGTTTGGGCAAAATGCATGCCTCATAATTTAAAATAGGTTTGTCCAATTTGAGAGTTAATGCAATTTTAAAGAGTTAGATGAGGTCACTTATCGCAAAGGGCTTAATTCGTTAAAGGTATTGAATGTCCCTGATACAAATAGTGAATCATCATTATAAGAAAATATTAGAAAGATAGTAGTGATGTATTGATTATATTAAAAGTATTATGTTGTACATATTTTGATCATTTATCATTTTTATTTTATATAGTTTTACCACAAGTGTTTTACATTGTGTATATTTTTACCACAAGTGTTTTACATTGTGTATATTTTTACCACAAGTGTTTTACATTGTGTATATTTTTACCACAAGTGTTTTACATTGTGTATATTTTTACCATACCCCAGCTTTACCTGGTATTTGCAGTGGTGTTTGAAATCATAAAATATAGCAATGATACACAAAGTAACATTTTTAAATACCATTTGATAAAAAGTTTTATTAGGAATTTTTACCTTATTTCAACCATGTCTTGGCACACCTGGTATTTTCTATGACATTTAAATACATATGCATTGCAGCAATGATAGTTTTAGATACGCCAATACCTTCCATTAATATTATAACAAGTTTTGATAGTTTTATGATATCATGGATTTTAAAATACAGAGATATTGATTTAGTGAACTAAGCGATGGTCTATGAAAAATGACTTGATAAAAAAGTATTTAGACAGTGAGCTAACAGACTACAATGTTCACAAATAGATGGTAATAATTACCTGTTTTATAAAGGAAGTGATAAGATCTATAATGATCTATAGAAGCTGATCAGTGAAGTGAAACCAAGCCACAATGAAGTCCTGAAGGTGATAAACACTTCATGTTAAATAACACCTTTTTGTCATCGTCATTTTTATTCGCTGAATCTTAACTGAGCATTCGTTCAAATCAAATATTGCAATTTTAACGATAATTTCATTGCAAATTTTGTGTTTTGTGTGAAATATGGCCATATTATGTAACAATATGAACACAATTTAAACATTTACTAATGATAAATTCAGATAACAGTTTTAAACTGCGTAAACCTTAATACTTCCATCGTAAGCTGGGTAGGAACACTGTCCTTTTGTGGGAATGGAATAGCTCAGTCTGTAGGAAGTTGGATTGTCATCTGCTAGGCTTATTGGTGTTTTGGGTTTTGGAATCCTCATCAAGAGCTTAGTCTAATCTTAATTTTCTAATGAGAAAGGGAAAGATATATATCAGAATGGTGTTCTGAAACATCAAAAAGGTTTGCAACAGATTGGATACCTTGCTATTACTAGAATCAGAATTATGTCGTCTAGTATCAATAAAAGGGGTAGGTAGTAAGGTAGATGAGAAATTAAAGTTTGATTCCAGTGGATGCTGATATCATGAACTAGGTAATTGTTGAATTGGTTGGATTGTATGATTCTGTGCTGTTGGTTTGTTACAGATACAACATACCTATTACTAATGGCTCGAGTTTTTAGATCTCTACACTATCACACTATACCTGACCACTGGGCAGTCAACCAAGACAGCTCTGACCTCACTACTGGTCATTATAACAAGGTGGTTACGTAACACTGACCAACACTGGCCAATCCTGTCACTATGATCATAACAGCTTATACCCTTTCCAAAATGGAGGTCATTGCTCACTTTTGGCAGCCATTAAAAACTTAAATTATCATGGATTTACCTGAAAATTTCAACAAAATGTGTCAAAATTGTGGATAATAAGTGCCTTGGATGTATTTTTTGAACACTTTTGGAGGATTTTGCCCCGTTTATATTGGAATGATGTAATGGTAAATACCTTGACTATGTTGTGGTTAATGACATGGCAGCCATGTTGGATTGTACAGGTTGCTATTTGACCTCTGACAGAAGGTTATGAAGGAATGTTGGTTTATGGTTCCCTAGAGACCTATATTCCTGACAGGTTGCTAAGGATAAGGCACTGGCCTGCAGCCATTATTTAAGAGCTATATGAGATTGAATGGAATGGTCAGATAAATTTTTGGCATTGTACAAACTTTTTGATGACATTAATTGCAAGCTTATTTCAAGTTTGCTGTTTTTAACGATAAAACGCCATTCTTGTAGTTTCAGTTAAAGAATTGTAAAATGATTGTCTAATATTAAGTCATCTCTTTAAGTCATCTGTGTACTCGTTCCAAAATTATCTAGGGATTGATCTGATGCTCACAGATACCCTTAGTTGCTACTAGTATTTAAAAACCGAGTCACTATTAGATTCTACCTTTCACAATCTGAATTGATCCCCCCCACTCCCCTGCCCTCCCTTCTTAAGAATATAAATTGATAACATCCTGCCAAGTTGATATGAAATTTTATTCAAGCAAGATGAACGATTAATAAAAACTCGCATCAAATAAGAATAAGGTTTAAGTGTAAAAGTTAAACAAAATTTAGGAGTGAGGAATATATATCACAAACACTTGACAACATTACGGAATAAAACACACTTCTAATAAAATATTATAATATATTTCAAGTGATGATGACACGTGTAATTTGTGTTGAAATGTTTGTGTTTAATATTTGATTAAAGAAGCGTGTTTATTCTATAATATTCTCTTGTGTTTGTGAATTCCTCTCTTCTAAATATCATTCAAGTTTTTAATAAGCTGACATGAAATTTTATTCAAGCAAGACGAAAGATAAATAAAAATTCACATCAAATAAAAAACTGATGTTTAAGTGTATTTTAATGATTCTATATCAGTTGTTGTCAATTCTCTATTCAATTTTATGTATAAAAAACAAGTTTAAACAATTCCTAACAGAATATTCACTAGAATTGTCTTCCCTTCTTTCTGTTTACCTAAAAATAAAACATGTAAATACTGTTTATGGCTATGGCTTGTTGAAATTCTGGTTAAGCAAACACCGCCGTCCCCTCCCTTTAAAAGAGAAATATAATTACAAAATTTGAATTTGACAATAGAAAAACAAATCATGACACTACCTAAATCCAATCCCCCCCTGCCCTCTTTTCTTTTTTGAAAAAAATCCCATAGTTATGAAGTAAACTTGTGATCATGTATAAACAAATAATCATTGATAATAGCTGTAGATTGTAGGGATTAGAAATTTTCTCACTGTGTGTATAATGAAGGCATGAGGTCAAGAGGTCAAGCTAGGAAATGGTCAATTTAACAGTAATGTACATTCCACTAGTTAAACTACACTCAGTCTACTGACCTACTTTCTTCCTTCCTGCTGGTTATATATCACAGGTTGCAGTTATAACCACATTGGTGTTAGACAATATACCACAGAATACCCCTTGTTGCCCCAGCAAGATTTCCCCCATTGCTCACTGCGTTTAAATACACTCACAGCTTATTGACCTACTTTCTTCCTGCTGGTTATATATCACATGTTGCAATTATAATCTCTGTGACAGTTTACTTTATTGCACACTTCATGGTGTATATAACTGTTTCATTATATTTTTCTGGTAATATATATCAGATTGAGATAAGACACCCTAACCTTTGAATATTTGGAACAAGAGGAGGCTTATTCTGCTGCATCAAAACGATTTTATCCTCTGAACCTACTCTATTTAGATGTACAACTGTGTTTGGTATAATATTTCTAATAATATAAGATAGCAACTAAAAGCTGACAAATGCAGCCTACTCTTAAATCACATGATCGGATAAGACAATAAACCAAGGTCCTATATGCTACAGGTTGAGACTGAGAAGATTCTCTTGTGAAACATTTCTTATAAAATTTATATTTGAAATGAAAAATGAGGTAGGGGTACAAACAATTTTTCTAGTAACATTTACTTATTTTTAGTAATGTGTATTTTCTATTTTTAGTAATGTGTGCTATTTTTTTATTTACAGTAACAAGTGTCTAAATGAGAAGAGAAGAAGAGAGCAGGAGAATTTCTATATAGAGGAATTGGCCGAATATATTCTAGCCAGCAACCTGGACATGAGCTCCTTTTCCAAACCTGACAAATGTGCAATACTCCAGGAAACTGTGAACACTATTCAACAGATTAGTAAGGAAGGTAAGGCATGTCCTTTTATTAGGGGTAGGGATCAGGCTTGTTAGGGCGAGAATGCTAAAATTCAATTGATAAGTAAGGAATATAGGTCCTAGCCCTTTAGACTTTTAAATGACGTCTGGCTGTGATGGGGTGAGGTAGCATTCAGCAGATTATTAAGAATGTCCTCAAAATTTGCAGGTGGTCGTTCTTGAAATTCATTCACACATGACTGGTTGTTACAGTGAAACTCACATCCCTGCTGTTAACAATTGATCTGTATAATAAACAGAAACTTCTGAAATCAATATCTGGGTTTGTTCATTAAGAAATTGTCAGTTACAATCAAATAAATGATAGATTTTAACACTGACTTTGTTATTGGAAACTTGTTAAGCTCAATAACTTTAAATGAACATAGTACAAGAAGTTAGACTTTCTATCAAGCATTGACAGCTATTTTTGGTTAGATAAAATCTCTACCACTCCAACAAGAAGGGGCTCAGTGAATTAGACATTAGCTCAATAACCAGAAGATCCAGGGTTCAATCACAGAATAGGTCAAGATAATACTTTCAAATTTTGGCCTGCAGGGCTGAGGCTTCTTGTCTTTTGGGTAGGAAACTCAGCTAAAAAACCACTAAGCTTCAGGCTTTGAACTCAAAAGATCACTTGAGGGTTCGATATTGAAATTAAGGAGGCTGTAGTCTATCTTCATAATCCCAATCAGAATTGTAAGAAAATGTACAAAAATAGGACGTAAAAAAACTGTATTTTATTTAAGAGACAGCAATTGTTATGGATATAGACTTCTATTTATTCGTTTTGAACACTAGTACCAGTACCAATTGTTGTCTCTTAATGTGCAGTGATACTTGTAAATGTCTTACAAGTATTCTATTTTATTTGATTTTAAATTCAGTTGCTATGTACCGTTGTGTAACGATTATATCTTGTTTGTGTTGTAGAAACCGGTTGTAGTGAAGCTGTTCAACAGAGTCAGGTATCGTCCAGTAAACCGTCTATTCTTGCCAGTAATCTTCTTGGTCCTCTTCTTCTAGAGGTGAGTTATAACGCCTTATAATCTAACTTCAATTCTTACCATATACCCCTATCAGTATCATATATTCTAGCTTACTTCATCTTGAAACTTGTCAGTGAACAGATCATTCCTCCAGTGAAGAGACTTAAAGCTTTAATCTTCCTGCACTTTAAGAACATGATTCAATTTGAAAATTTCCATTAAACTGCCTCCCCTGCCCCCCCTGTCATAGCAGGCAAGGCAAGTTCAAATTCACCTGTTACACAACCATACTAGTCTCTATTCCCAAATACTCTGACTCTGTCTAAAGACTCTGACAGATGATTTTGATAACTACCGGTACCGTACTTACCTGAGAGAGAGTTACAGCAATATATAGCCGACCACGTCACATGGAAAATTAATTGCAAGTAGCAACACACCTTAAACCTGGGTTGAAAACATGCGTTTCTTTAAAACACTGCGTAGAGTAGGGCACAGAGCAGCGTTAGCACTTTTTTTGCTGTCAATAGAGTTGACAAGAGTTACCACGTGTAGGATGGGTATATTCGGATAAAAATTCCACATTCAATTATTGATTTCTTTCACATGATGTTACTTGAAACGTGCTGGTATAAAAACGTGGTTAAAAACGAATGTAGTAATATCTATTTTGAAATCGACTCTATGAATAGCAAAATTAATTTTTCTGAAGCCATTGGTTGAAATTAGAAATCCTCTCGTTGGTTTTAAATGACATAGAACAGTTGAAAGATATGCCATAAAACCACCTAGTTTTGATTCTGGATTGAACTGTAAAAGAGATTTATTACAATAAAAAGAAATAAAGCAAACTGGAAGAACTATTGATCACAAATCACATTACCTAAGATATATATAATCACATGTCCAATAAATGATAAGTTGACCAATATATAGTACCCTTTTTTACTTGGTATCAGTCCAGAACCTGCAAAAAGATCAGATCTATCAGAGTCTAGGTAAGAGCTAGAGACAATAGCTATCAGAGGCTAGGTACAATTGCTGTCAGTGTCAGGGGCCCAATGCAATGGCTATCAGGGGCTAGGTAGGAGTCGACCAATTCTAGCTCCAGTATTGTATTTGTTATTTTTTATTCTTTCAGACACTTGATAGTTTTTTATTTGTGGTTAACAGTCAAGGAAGAGTTACTTTTGTATCAGAAAATGTTAAGGATTACCTAAAATATATTCAGGTAGGTCTGAGTTTCTGTTATTTTATCACTACCAGGGTTCAATTCATACTGCTTCTGCATGTTTTGGATTCACAGTCCTCATCAGGAGAGGTAGTTTTGAAACGGTAGTTAACTTTCTAGCGTTGGATATAAAGGTATTCATCCTCAATGAATGTGGAATTTGAATTCTCAAACTTAGACATTAAGATTATTCATTCAATCAGTGGACTGGATAAATTGTTAAGCATTTGTGAATCATTACTTGTAGTGTTAAGAATTTAACGGAATATAGAGGGATTCTGTTGTATATTCACGACACCAGGTAAGTCCACTGATGTATATACACTCTCATTGTCTATGTTTGAGAATTCAAGTTTTATGATCATTCTAAGAGGTAGAATACCTTTAAAGCAGGTCTCACACTGTGATTTCTCTACGATGTCTTGCACAAACTCTAGCTATACATGTATATTTAAAATTGAAATTTTATGTTCATTCTAAGAGATAGTATTCATTAGTTAAGCTTATGAGCGAAGAAGACAATTTCCTGCTAAAAGTCTCTAGTTCATGACAAGTCATTTTGCCGTCATATCATGTTTGATTTTACTTACAAACGTGTGAATAAAAATAGTGAGAAATCGTGAAATCAAGGGATTTTTTTGTGACCTTTTGACCTAAGATTATCTCACCTAGAGATAAATTATTGATGATGATTTAATGGCCACTTATCACCTCATCTGTCTCTTTCTTTTTCTATTTTCTTACTTTTTATCAAAGTGACACGTTGTTGTAGACCTACTTAGTTTTTATTTTGTGGCTATACATGTACATATCCCTTTATTTACTTGTTTAAGAATATTACCCTCTTAGCTTTCTTCTGATAACTGTATAATCTTGAATATAATGCCCTGAAGTAAATCTGTAAAAAATCTCTAGTTCTTACTTCGTGACCTAGTACTAGGTTTTTTTCTAAATTTTATTCCTATATCACTGTAACACTGACTGTAGATAAAAGGCCCTCTGAACTCAATATGAAGGCGCGCCACAGATACCCTTTGACAATCTGTTCTCGTTCAGCGTTTTACAGAAATGTTATTGACTGTTGATAATACCCAACCATCTTAACAGAAACAAATTCACAAGTTGGCATAACAGACACTATAATACTGAGTTTCTCTTGATTAATTTGTGCTACTAGAATCAATAAAATAGTTTCACTGTGATGATCATCTCACCTTTAACCCACAAATCAATTGAACTTTGACCTGGTGTTTAATTGACCCTTGACCTGTATTTGATTAATTATCCCTAGCTAGAATAATAATGACCAGTCAGCTCTATATATATATATATATGTCTATGAGTACTTTCCCTTGATCATCTTCATCAATACGTTTGTGATTTTGTCCGGGGTAAAGTTTAGATTCAGATTGGGTTGGTTCCTTTGGAAAATCTGCAACAGGCTGTGCACGCTAAAGATAAGTCGACAGTTGGAAATAGAAAAAGAGTAGGCTAATGCCACTTTCTTGGAAAAGTTACTCTCATACAGTGCTTAAAGTAAGATTGAGGTGCATAATCAATTAAATACATTCAAACATTATTCCTGTTAAGTATGTAGATAGAGAGGTTAACACAGAAGAGAAAATTTGCTCTATTTGTTACAGGCTGTAGATTTTAAGATTCTTGATAATTTAAAATTGGCTATTTATTCCTAATTTCATGTTTATAATTGCCTAGAAATTGCCACATTTTAGCAACATTTAACACCTGAACACATGAGATGATATTTCCTGTGTATATTAGCATAATAAAGTGACAGGTGTAGAACAGTAGGACATTAAACTTCATTAGCCTAATAATAAAATACAGAACAGTAGGACGTAAATCTGTTTATTTCAGTTTCCAAAACCCTGTAGATTTGCCTGTAAATGTCCTTGATACGCGAACAAATTCTAGAAAGCCTTTTTGAGCATCTTAAACGATTTTTCCCTTTAAAGTTGATCATCAGGGGTCTGACTTATTTTAGACACCTTGGAGGTCAATAACTAATTATTCTAACTATCAATTTAATTACACTATTTCTTAAAATCTGGATATATCAGTTATCTCCCAGAAATAAGGCGCTAGTTTGAAAACTAAGAATTGATGATCGATGGACTTCAATTTATCTTTGGTTATCCAGTCTCTTGAGATATAGTACTATCTAGATTTGACAAGTTGAAACAGAATTAGTTTTGTTTATCCAGTCTCTAGAGAGTAACGTCTCCGGAAACTAAATAGAAACGACCAGCGCTAATTGAAAAGACTTGATAATTGTGTCACTGTGAACATTGTTAAAAGAAAGAAAAGCTGGAGAGGATCTTAACGAACTTTTCATGTTAGATTCAAGTTGTATCACAATAAGGTTCCCTTTCATTGATGGCTTGATTAAGTCCGGAAAGATGGAGATAAAAATAGAAACAAATCCACAAAACGAAATTAGCAAAGTAGGGCAAACAAAGCTCCTTGTTTTAGGGACAGGTTTGGTATCCGTTTGACCAATCATATCTTAGTCAAGGAATCTATTAGCTAAGCTAATCAGTAATAGTGTTCACAGTTCAGTGTTAAAATTTGAGCTTTTTCAACATTTCTATATATTTCTTCCTTCTTTTTATTTTTTCTTTCTGTCCTTACATCCTTTATTCAAATAATTTGTCAGGATGTCTTTGTTTGTTCATCTTTTATTCATTCATTCTATTGTGTTGTAATTTCAGGATGATCTTGTTGGAAAGAGTATTTATAATATTATCCATGTGGGAGACCACGCTGAATTTAGTAATTATCTCAAGCCCATGTCATTGGGTAAGTATAGTTATACTCCTTCAGCCGGTGCTTTTGTGAGTTTTCTCAGGTGCGAGTGTTTATCGGCTCCTAAAGATTGGAATTATGACAGAATCTGTTCAACAGTCTTTACCTAATTTCGTTATTTATACAATTTCTATGGCCGGTGCTTTTGGGAGTCTTCTCAAGTCTTCTCCATAAAATCAGAATTAACCAAACCTGTTCTCTCAGTGATCAACAATCTATCACTGTGAATTCAGTTATGACCTTTTACATTAATGACATTCAGGGGTACCCCTGTCAGTGATGAAAGTGATGCTTACATGGGAAGGTGTCTAGTCGTTCGATTGAAACAAAAAACCATGGCCCATTGTGCTACAGGCTGGGCACATTAAAGATCCCTTGACAGTTGGAAATGAAAAAGCTGGCTAATGCTGCTGTCCTGGCAAAATTTCCCTCATTGCACACTGCATGGTGTTGCTCGTCCTCATTAGGTAAAGTAGGCACAGAAAAACTCCATTCATTTCATTATCGATCGACATATTGCATAATTCTTTTTTATCAACTTGGTTTGCATGAAATCTTTTTTAAATTGATATGATTTTTAAAATGCGTTCACCGTATCATTTTGATGAGTTCGAGGAATATTTTAGAATATACAATGCAAATCTATGCACACTCGTCTGTTGCTAACAGACATTTAATATAAAGTTTTGATGTAAAAAATATGACATCTAAAAGAGAAAATTGTTTTTTTGATCAAGTTTTATGTTAATAATATTAATTAGTTTTTTTGTTGTTTTTTTTGCAGGTAATATAATATTTCCCAATGATAATTCTGATTGTAATAAAGCTAAGAATTTTAGTTGTAGAATGCTCATTAAACCTGCATGTAAGTTGGTATTCTTTTGTTTATTATTAGAGTTAGGGTGGGATGGGATATATTATTGTCTAGGGTGGAGGCCCTGTGTTTAGGGGTTGTTTAATTTTATTGTCTGGGTTGTGGGTAAGGAGTATGTCATGTATTTTTCAAGATAAGAAGATACACAAGGTTTATCCCCTATAACAATATGTTACTTGCATCTCTTGAACCAGCTACTCTATACACTACGCTAATCCCCTATCACGATAAGCTACACAGTATTTTTCTCCTAAAATAATAAGAGGATAACAAGATACCATTGAGGGACAAGAAGATCCCCCAGAAATATAACAAGATTTATAATGAATCCTCTAATATCTATTATTTTTAATCTAAAGGTGAAGTAGATACAGATATAGAAGTTAAACAATCCTTTGTATGTAAATATGAGAGTATGCATATTACTGCTGTTCTACAGCCTTATTTAACAGAGAGTTTTTCAGAGTCTTATACAGAATCAGGTATGTTATAATACAGAGGGGGGTAGGGGAGACAGCTCTATTTAACAGAGAGTTTTTCAGAGTCTTATACAGAATCAGGTATGTTATAATACAGAGGGGGTAGGGGAGACAGCTCTATTTAACAGAGAGTTTTTCAGAGTCTTATACAGAATCAGGTATGTTATAATACAGAGGTGGGTAGGGGAGACAGCTCTATTTAACAGAGAGTTTTTCAGAGTCTTATACAGAATCAGGTATGTTATAATACAGAGGGGGGTAGGGGAGACAGCTCTATTTAACAGAGAGTTTTTCAGAGTCTTATACAGAATCAGGTATGTTATAATACAGAGGGGGGTAGGGGAGACAGCTCTATTTAACAGAGAGTTTTTCAGAGTCTTATACAGAATCAGGTATGTTATAATACAGAGGTGGGTAGGGGAGACAGCTCTATTTAACAGAGAGTTTTTCAGAGTCTTATACAGAATCAGGTATGTTATAATACAGAGGGGGTAGGGGAGACAGCTCTATTTAACAGAGAGTTTTTCAGAGTCTTATACAGAATCAGGTATGTTATAATACAGAGGGGGTGGGGGAGACAGCTCTATTTAACAGAGAGTTTTTCAGAGTCTTATACAGAATCAGGTATGTTATAATACAGAGGGGGTGGGGGAGACAGCTCTATTTAACAGAGAGTTTTTCAGAGTCTTACACAGAATCGGGTATGTTATAATACAGAGGTGGGTAGGGGAGACAGCTCTTATCATTGACATATTATTGAATGATTATATTTTATATTACAGAAGGACAACAGAGGTGTTTGGTTTGTATCGCTCGACGTCTTCACCTTACAGAAAAGGCCAATATGATGATCGGTACAGAACATTTAATAACTAAACAAGATCTGAATGGTAAAATATTAGAGTACGATTCAAGGTGAGTCCTCCACGAATCTCAGATAAATTTTAACTCCATGAGGCGTATAGATCTCCAGGAATCTCAACTATATTTTAAATTCAGGAATTGTTAGATCTCTACGAATCTCTGATTGTTCCTAACAAAAGATACTAGGGATAAATTTACACCCCTAGGCCAACTTCTCAAAAAATCTGTCCATAAAACATCGTCATTTATTCAGTTTGTCAATTGCATATAAACACCAATAATGCTATTGAGACCAACATTTCATTTTGAATGGTGAAAACTCATACCTGTAAACATATTTTTTTTATAAACTGTTTGTCCTAATGCTCAAGTAATTCATTCCTGTTTCAGTCATTTAGCTTCTAATCATCGTATTGGAGTAGATTTTATTGGGCAGCTCATTCAGGATTTCTGTCACGCTAATGATATTCAACAGCTCAACAAACATTTTCAAGAAGGTAAGAGTTATAGAGTTATTGCCCTTGCCATTGGCTTGGCACATCTTAACGTCTGAAATGCATGAAGAATAGATTCTCGTCTATGCTTTCTTGAGTTTATATAATGCTTTGTCCATGCCTGAATGGTTGAAGATATTTAATTTTGTGAGATATGTTCTTATAGTGGTCATGAGTTCTAAGTTTGGTTGGAAAGTCTGGTGGTCTTAAATAAGTCACCTTTCCTCATTATTCCAGTTGACCCAACTGTAAATAGGTACAGATAATTCTGAAACATCCATGCCAAGAGGTTTGGCCAAAGACCAGTTGGGGGAAAGGATCCTCATGAACTGAAGTTGTTAACTTTGTGTGGCTCGATGTTAAAATCAGTTAACACATAAAAACTTAGTCTGAAACTTCTGCCTCTATTCCAGCATCTGATGGATATTTTGACAGTTGTCAGCTGGAGTAGAGTCAGAAAACAAAGACCCTGTTAAATGGGGTTTTTCTACACTTGATAAAAATATGCTATAAATATGCTATAAATATGACGCTTATTTCTAGGGTGTGTTATCAAAGTGTGTTAATTATATTATCATCTGTGTGTTAAGCATGATTTCTGTATAAGTCTACGTGCGCGTGTTTTATATTATATTGATTATATTTTTCAGTGCGTAAAAACGTTATTAACACCAGTGGTGTATTCAGATTAAAGTTATTAGAAGGAAAGTACGTGTTTGTCAGGACTAAGAGTAAACTGGTCAGTAATCGTGGTTCCAATGAACCAGAATATATCATATCAACTCATCAAGTTGTAAGGTAAGTCTTTGGTGTTTGAAGTTTGGGAGTTGTTTGGGGTGACAGGTCTGAACCATGTATAAACTGGTCAATAATCATTGTAACTCCTTAGTTGTTAGCCAAGTTTCTGGTATCTGATTTGTAGGGATTGTTTGGGGTGAGAGGGGATGTTGTTTAAGCAGTTGATTGTCTGAACCATGTATAAACTAGTCAATAATCATTGTAACTCACTAGTTGTTAGCCAAGTCTCTCTGGTATCTGATTTGTAGGGATTGTTTGGGGTGAGAGGGGATGTTGTTTAAGCAGTTGATTGTCTGAACTATGTATAAACTAGTCAATAATCATTGTAACTCACTAGTTGTTAGGCCAGTGTCTCTCTGAATGTTGATTGAAATTAAGGTATACATACTGAATTTCGTTGTATATTAGGGAGATGAATATTTGAGGCTGTTTTGTATAACTTAATACACTATAGATTTAAGGAGAAATTCTGAAATGAAGCTAAATACAAAGAATCTTCCTGCATGAAAGTCTTGTTGGATTGATTTTTAAATGTCTTAGGGGCTTGTTAAGTAGGTGTATTATTGAATAATTTTAAGATAGATATGTTCCTCTACTGTTAACTAGGATCAGTTCATATTAAACTTCTCCTGGCGTAGGATGAGATAAAAGAAGGTAGTTTTAGTATAACTAGAATGAGGTGTTGGAGAATTACTACTACTGTAAGTATTATTCAATATGATCTTAATATATTATATTCTAATTGTCTAGGGTGGTTGTATAGATATGTTCCTCCACTGTTAACTAGGATCAGTCCATATTAAACTTCTCCTGGCGTAGATTGTAGAGGTTAACAGCCAGTAGCTATCTATTATATTTCCCAGTCGTGGCACATTCCTTCTATAGAAGATGGATGCATGGAGGCTGGGGGTTCTGGTTGTTGAGTTGTAGATCCGAGTTGTCCTGTTTAAATCAGATAGTTGTTGACCCTGGTCTGAAAAAAAAATTGGGTTTCATTTTGAAAAAATTATCTTAAATTTTGAAGAAGGGTCTAGATTGCAGTTTTATTCTGTAGAATTTTTATAAATCTTTATATTTATTTGCCAAAAAGTATTTTCCAATTTTTCAAAATACATTAAAGAATTTGAAAAAAAAAACAGATTTGAATTTTTTCAAATTTTTCAAGGTTGTCTCCCTTACTTGTGTTTAACAATGTAAGTCAAAAGAATTTGTTGGTGACAGTTGTGATAGAATAAACTTTTTGCCATGACAACTTTTTAAATTGATTGTACCATGTGATAAACAGGTTTTATAATTGTAGTGTGGATATTATACAATATACATATATCAAATTAGCACCCTGAAACAAGCAACCAGAGTTTTTATACAATATTGTGCAATACTAGATCAAAAAATCAGTTTTTGCCATAGTGATGCTATATATGGTAAAGCAGTTCCGCAATATCAGGAACCACAGACAATGTATGGAAATCGGAATGATGCAAAAGAAACCATAAATGTATTTGATGGGAAAAACCCAGAAACGTTTTGTAACCCCTTTGGATATTTAATATTTAAAGAATTTAACTTCTATTCTATTATGTTTCTTCTGACTTTTTGACGTGTAAGTTTTGATATAGTTTATTATAGTCGAGAGTTATAATTATGTTGTTGAAAGCTGCTAATATTTTTTCATGTTTTCTTACTTCTAGATGATACGAATGACCAAATTGATAGGAAGATTTTAATTGGAATGAGGCTTAGATTTCGTTGTAGAAAGTGGCTTAAAATGTTTCTGTTTTTTACTTTCAGAGATTGTGATTCAGAGGTGGAGTTAAAAGGTTCGGCTTCAAGTAGTTTAAGGAAGTCCATTATTGGACCAGTGGGAAATAACAATCGGAATAACAATATGGCTACTGGTGGTATGACGTCTGCCTTACCGATGGGTGTGTTAGGAGGCGGGCAGAACAATTTTATTGGCCCCCAAACCTCCAACCCGAAGTTAAATTTAACGGATAATTTAAGTGGATTTGACAATTGGGATAGTTTATTCGGTTCGGATAATTCTTCGGATTTAGTGAACAGCTTAACAAGTGCTGCGAGTTCTGGGAATTCAAGTAATACGTCCAACCCGTGGGCAAGTTTGCCCAAAATGTCGCCTAACAGCTCAGCCATGGGCGGTGTTAGTGGATTACCTAATCAAGGCAGTAAAAAACCAGCTGCTTTAAGTTTATCACATCGAACCAGTTCTTTATCATTTGACGGACAAGCTAGCCCAGGTTATCCAGTGAGCCCAGGGCCCCGTAGTGCTGGATTTCAAGTGCCCTCGGCTAATCGTATGCCTGGATATACCGGACAACGTAGTCCGGGTTCTGCTGGTCAAATTAGAGGACAATTTATGATACCTGCTCAACATAAGAAGAACCCATTAATGTCTCCCCCCTCGGGTTAGCATATTATTTTTATTTCAGCATGGCTTACTTCTCTTGTTTGTTTCACGGACTTGATACAGCATGGGACATGTACACTTCACATTAATATAATACTCTATTATATTAGAATTATTTCCTTTATAATTAGTATTACTTTATAATTTAATTTTATTACTTTATAAAAATCACGTTGATGTAGCTGAATTTTTACCTCGGCCTGTGCTTTCGTAACTTCAATTATATGTTGTTGTTACATCCACTCTTAACTAACATGGAGATCTACTTCTAAACATAGACTGAAATATTATATAGTGCATTTTCGACCTGTTGTTAATCTTGGTTTAGTGACTTAAACAGCAAACACATGTTCACTGGACCAGAGATTAACAGTCAATTGTAAATTTCCCTCATGGCACACTATATGGCATTGCAAGTTTTCATATTATCCCAATTAGAAGCATTGATTACACAAGATTTCCATCAGTGCTCACTATACAGCAATGTAACTTAATATTTCCAATTAGGAGCAAGTGTGCAATATCAGTTTTCATTATCTTAATTGAGAGCATCACCTTCTCTCATTACATAGTACATAACAGTACAAGTTTTATCTGAATATCGACCAAAAAAATGCACAAGACTTCATTCCATTCAATTTCTTTATCTTTTCAGCGGCATCATCAACATGGGGGCGGAGTTTAAGTCAAGAATTACAGCCAGTATCAAGTTCAGTCAGTTCACACAGCCCTCATAGATCACTCGAACATTCTCTATCTGCTGACTTGTCACCTCGGTACATGCCCGATAAACTGAACTTTGACACGAATACGTCAAGCTGTGGTTCGTCTGCGAATGCGTCAGAACGAGGAATGGGTAAGTTGTGTCAGTTACTAACACAGGATACCTCTTTTTCAAAAACAAGTGCTCTTTACAAATCGCCTAAAATGGCACGGACTGATTCCTCCTCGTCTGGTCGCGGAATTGTGGATAGACTGGATTATTCCCCTTTTGATAATATCAGCCAATCACCGCAGCCTGGAACAGGAACCAGTTCTCCGGAGAAGCCTCAAAGTACGTCTGAGGAATCGGAAGTAGGATATAACAAGGTTCGTGAGGAGAGAAAACAGAACCTAATCCTGAAAAAACTTTTAAGTCAAGAAGATGAAGGCGGAGCCACGTCAGTGATGGATCAAGAGGTCACAAGTTCACCTCAAACGTCCAATGAGAATGATTCTAATTTGGATTTAGATCGAAACGAGGCCGAAGCGAAGAAACCCAGCAATGCTATATTAAAGGTAAGATAAGATTTCTTTTTTTTTGTGAATATTGAGACAAACTGAAGTTTAAGAAGCAGATGTATAAAAAAATTCATTCATTCATGCGATTTATTGTTGTCTTGATTTAGGAATTAAATAATCTATTAAAATATATTTTGTGATAAACAGTGATAATATTTATTACAGCAATTATTAAATGAAGATGATGAGAATGATATTGGCGCCACGGGTTCGATTCTGAATAATTTAAATGATGAAGATAAAACCGGGGAACTCTTACAGAAGTTACTTCAAGAAGAAGAAAACAATGCATCCACTCCAGGGGTACGTATTACTTTCCTCTGAATACTGACTCCACATTTTACCCTTTTTACAGTGCTTATAGTAGGATTGAGGTACCTAATCAATTAAATACATTCGAACAAAACTGTTAAGATAGAGAGGTTAACACAGAACAGAAAATTTGCTCTATTTGTTAGAAGCTGTGGATTTTAAGATTCTTGATAACTGAAATTTATATATGGCTATTTAGGTCTTTGTAAATTTTCAAGTAATTGCCTGATTCACAATTTGCAAGTTTATAATTGCCCAGAAATAGTCAATTTTAGCAACATTTATCTCCTGAACACATGAGATGATATTTCCTGTGTATATTAGCATAATAAAGTGACAGGTGTAGAACAGTAGGACATTAAACTTCTTTTCATTAGCCCAATAAAAAAGTAGGACAATTAAGTTTGTTTTTTTTCTTCAGGAGACGACAATCCGAGAAGCTGACAGTGGATCTCGTTCTCGCCACCAGTCTGGACATCAGGACCCTCAACCCTCCTCTTCCTCAGGGTCACAGGGTCACACCACCCCCCAACATAATTCCTTCTTAGATGAGTCCATCTTACGTCTTATCAACAGCGGACCGAAATCATCGGCTGTGGCAGGAAACATCATGAAGAATAAAAATTTAGACCAGTTCTTTAACACGTTGTGGGAAAAAGATTCAACATCGCCAAGAGAACAAGGTGCACGTCTACGAGGGCCGCAGAAAAAACGTAAAGCTTCAGCTACGGATGTTGACAGTACAGATATGTCAGACACGGAACCGAGTCAAAGCTGTTTAGCCAAAAATAACGCTATCTTGGCTCACATGCTGTCCAAGAAAACTGCGAAGGAAAATATGGTCCTGAGCACTCAGCAGACGGTAAAGCCTACAATGGTCCCACAAGATCGTCTGCCCAAAAATATCATAGAGAGAATAATACAAGTGAAAACAGAGAAAGAAAAAGAGGGAAACTCAGGCCCCAATTCGAGGGATAATCCATCAACAAATCCTAATATCCCTTTTCCTGGTAACACGAAAACGGGCCAACCATTCGCAGGTTTGAATGAAAATAGCGAAGATTCGATGATGAGCTCTGAAAGTAACCAATTAGACATCATTCAGCAATTGTTGAACCAATCAGAATCCATGGAAGTTGATAATGGAGACAGTAACGATCCTTTGTTACAAGGTATTCTTCAACAGGCTGCCGAACTGGAGCAGGACATTAACAACAGCCAGCATCAACATCAACAACAACATCATCAGCAGCTGAACAACTTGCAACAGCAGCAACAACAACAACAGCAGCAACAACAACAACAACAACAACAACAACAACAACAACAACAACAACAACAACAACAACAACAACAACAGATCTCTGCTGCTGCTTCTCATCCACAACCCAACCAATCAAATCTGTCCTTTCAATCCAATCAGCAGACATCGTCGTCAGGGTTACCACAAAACCAGACGTCAAACCCCGAACTTAACAATATGGATGACTCAGCTTTTATTAGTCAATTAGAACAGTTGCTAGGTGACAACATTGACAATCTCCTTGGTAATACTCAACAGAACCCTCCTGCTTACAACAGTCAAGATGCTAGCGACCAAATGGCCATCAACGCTATCCAGCGCCAACTAATGGGCGAAGATCTCAATTCTGTCTCAAATTCGAATTTCCCCAACAATCAACAACCATCTCCTAGTCAGGTCGGCTTACTTTTTTCTTATTTCTAGCCCTTCCCCCCTCCACAGACTCTTTGCCTGAGAGGACTTTTAATTCCCCCACCCCCATGAGAAAACAGAGCGTGTCTCTAGTGAGACAAGTGTACTTTGATAACCTTTGATTCTACATGTAGCAAGCCTACAGTTGCAGATTATTCCATATTGGAACCCTCAAGCTAAAAAGTGTTACAGATCGCTGAAACTTAGCTCAATTAGCTGGTAAAATAAATTATTATCCCTTTTATAGCCTACAGTATTCAATTCATCACAATGTACATATTCTTTTTTCGTTGCAGATGTCTGAGTTGTTGAACCGACAAATGGCAGCCGTGTCACAGCAACACAGTCGCCTAAATCAGACCATGAATCAGCCTGGGATGGGGCCGATACCACAGGCCATGGACGGGCAGTTTAACCATATGACAGGGCCCAATATACCTGGGCTACAATCTGGGTTTAATCAGGCACTGTCAGGAGGTATGGGCATTGGGCAACCTGGTCCTAGATTTAACACCCCTCAAGGTACGTCAAAATATTTTTACTAGTTACTTTTACTAGCCCTTTTGACAAAATTTTATTTTTTTTCATCAAAAGATAAAGGTTTGGGGGGTTTTAAAGTAACAAGATCCTTTTAAACAGAAGTCAAACGAGAATATAAATTGCTTGGTCTGTTCTCTTAATTTTATGAATTTTACTGTTTCCACCATCATAGAACTAGATGTCCTGATGAGGATTGTGTATCTGAAACATATGTCAGTGACATGCGAAGGAGCTATTGTCTATTAACTAACATCAAGCCCTTTATTGGAAAGTTGACAAAATAGCTGTCCTAATGAGGATTGTGTATCTAAATACTTGTTGCCAGCTTGAGTCAGGTTTTATGAATATATGTAACTGAAATGCATGATTTTAGCTAGTTTTTAATGTAAATAATAAGACTGATGGTTGATTTTTAGGGATGCCTGGCCCAGCTGCTAGACAACAGATGTTCCGTGGAATGAATCACAGTCCAATGGGAGCTCAAGTTCGTCAAAATTTAATCCAAAAACAGAAGCAGAAAGATTTTGAGAAGTTACAGCGTCTGCAGGCTGCTGAACGACAGAGATTATTACAGCAACAGCAACCAATGAGACATTATGGGGCCAGATTTCCCTCGGTGAGAATTTTGATTAAAAATTGAATTTAAAAAGGGTTTTGAGCTGTTTATATGTCCTCTTGTTGCATTATTCCAACATAATTAAAGAAATGCTATAGGACAGATTGCCATCAGCAAGATATATTGATGAAAATGTGTTTAAGGGGTTTTCTTTCTTTTTTATGTTTTATCTGGGGCTATTTATGGTTTCTATTTGCACCATTCCAATTTTCAGTTAAATGTCTTCCTGGTCACGTATTCTCGAAACGATCTTAGAGCTAGGATGTCCTAGGTTCTTATCTTCTAACATTGATTCTAGGATGTCCTAAAGTCTTATCTTCTAACATTGATTCTAGGATGTCCTAGAGTCTTATCTTCTAACATTGATTCTAGGATATCCGAGGTTCTTATCTTATAACATTGATTCTAGGATGTCCTAGAGTCTTATCTTCTAACATTGATTCTAGGACATCCTAACGCTAAGATCGTTTTGAGAATACATGGTCTGGTTCCTGTAATTATAGAATGCTGAACTGTATATGAATAACTCTGATAAGGGACCATTCTGATAACTATGTTGTTTTTTAGATAATGGAAATTGTATTTATTGGAAATTTAACATCTTTCAGGGTTCAATGGATGGAAACCAGCCTCCATTTCCAGAAAATCTGAATGAGTTGATGAATACTGGGCATGCCCCTAACGTTACACTTCCTGTGGGGGTAAGTAATATTTATTTTCACTCCCTATTGTGGTTTTATGTAATAATTATTTGATATTCAGGTTTGTTGACTCAGCATCCCTTTCAGGGAGTTCACATACCTTAAATTTTTAGTTAGTACTTGGGATTGTCAACTCAGCATCCCTTTCAGAGAGTTCACATACCTGATAATGCTTATTTGGTATTTAGGTTTATGCTAGTATTATTAGTTGGTACTTGGTTGAAACTTGGTTGAGACTTGGTTGAGTATTTTATTAAGGTAATAATGTTAATTTGTTTTTCTGTTACAGAGAGGTAAAAATCTACCGAGTCCAGTGTCTCCACGATATAGTACCGGAGGAATACAACAGCCACCATTGAGTCCTATGTTACCCCCTTCTACCCCTCCTTCTTCACAACTCTCCCCCCATTTTAACTCTACCAACCAACAACAATGGAACATGAGAGGGGCCCAGCCTGGCATGGTAAGTTATCATTAGAATTTACAACAAATATTTCTGGTTTGCCAAGTGGAAAGCTGTTTTTAAAAACACTTGATGATCTGAGTTATATTCTAGTAGGCATTATCTTTTAGTCTTGTTGTCTGTCTAAGAAATATGAAAGTGGATGATGATATGTGCTTGTTTTAAGTTAAGTTTGGTTGAGAATAATGATATTGTGGATATGCATGATTAGTTTTAATCAACGACGCAAAATTACCTCCAAATATTTCAGAATTGTGTGTATACGTGTTCACATGTTTTGTTTTTTTTTGGCAATTTTCTGATATTTTCTCGGCATTTTTGTATTACAGAGTAACCAGTATAATCTACAGAGACACCGATCTCTGTCTGGTGGGAACGTGCCAAATCGGTTCACCGTGCCTGACTCTCAGTTTTCTACGAACCAGTCCAAGATGATGATGTCACCCTCAGCCCAGAACCAACAGATGTACGCTCGACAGATGTTACAGAGACAGATGAGCTTACCACCAGGTGCGTTTATTTTATCTTATGGCCTAGTTATATGTTACGAGGCCAGATTTTGCGGTTGCAGGGTATCTCGAGTTTGATACCACACTAGTTAATTTTACCGAGTCAAAACATATGTATATGGAAAAGGGGCAAGCCCTAGTATCCAGGCTTCCATTCTGTTACCAGGAAGACCAGATATCAGTGTCTTTAAACCACAGTGCATGCATGTAGTATACTTATATAACATGACAAACTACCAAAACATCCTGCAGCTGAAATTGTAGCCCACGTTCAAATATTTCGACCTGCGTAACAAAAAGCAGTAGTTTAAACATATTTTCTTGTATATTGTAGGTCGAGGTTCACCAAGATCTACACCTCATAGTCCGTTTGGAAACAGTCCAGACCCCATGTTGATGTCCCCTAATAATAATCGAGGCCCTGGGTCACAAGTTAGTCCAACATTTAGTCAAGGTGGCATGTCAACAGGCTTCACCTCTCCTCCTATGTCAGCCCCACCGAGTTACTCAGCTGCTTCTTTATCTACATCCGCCACATCAAATAATCCCAGCCAACATTTTTCAGATTTTGATTTAACATTTATTGATTCCGCCATTTCTGGAATGGATGTGTAAGTTTTTTTGTTTGTTTATTATAATGTTTTGATCGTTCTTTGATGTCCAAAACTTCTCTATTTTCCAGATGCTTCTGTTTTTCTAAACTTGGCACATTTTATAGCAGAATTAAATCAAACTTTTGTATGGTTTTAGTAGTTTCTTATACATTCTTGGCGCTGAAAAAAATTACCAGCCAATTTTTGATTCATTTACCAAATTACCAAGGTTGAAAAGATTTGCTTTGTTTACTTGCAGTAAAAAGAATTTAGGAGATATATCATCGAGTTCTACGTCCCAATATGTGAAACAAGAGTTACGTAATAAATGTAACGCTCGCTCAGAAAAACAGCACCAGTCTCAGCAGCAACATCAACTACATTTACCAGTTGACAACAGCAGCTACGATACCGGAGGAGAGTTACCACTCGATATTCTTGAAACAAGTACGTTTTTTTCTCTTTTATGAATCTTACTATAAAAGAGCGATTCAGAAAAATACAATCCTGGCTGCTTATTCTTGAAACAATCTTAGCGCTAAGATCTTTTGAAGAATACATGGCCAGCTTGCTTATTAAGTTGGTGGGTGAGGATTGCAACTCTTAAGTTGTATGTTTTTTTCTTATTCTCAGTTATCTAAGAAATGACAAAATGGATTAGTTTTGAATTAAATTGCCAAAGCGCAATGAAGATGTCCCTTCACTGGAACAATCATCTTTGTTCTGACTAGATTGGAGAAGTAGACTTGCTGGCCATGAACTTGTTGCTTTAAACACTAACACTGTTATATTTTCTCTAGTAAATATGGCAAAGAAATGCTGGCTATGAACTTGTTGCTTTAAACACTAACACTGTTATATTTTCTCTAGTAAATATGGCAAAGAAATGCTGGCTATGAACTTGTTGCTTTAAACACTAACACTGTTATATTTTCTCTAGTAAATATGGCAAAGAAATGCTGGCTATGAACTTGTTGCTTTAAACACTAACACTGTTATATTTTCTCTAGTAAATGACATGGCAAAGAAATGCTGGCTATGAACTTGTTGCTTTAAACACTAACACTGTTATATTTTCTCTAGTAAATATGGCAAAGAAATGCTGGCTATGAACTTGTTGCTTTAAACACTAACACTGTTATATTTTCTCTAGTAAATGACATGGCAAAGGAACACGGAGGTTCAATGGGTGATTTTGATGATAAAAACGAAGATCCTGTGTCTCAATCCAGTATGGAAGCACGGAAACGTTACGAACAGTTTCGAGCCTTATCAGACACACCCGGTAAGTTCACTTTAAAAACTAAAATAATACAGAAAAACCATATTGTGTTGTTGGATAATAGCTTAGGTTCTTGAGAAGCATGTCTGCTAGCTTGTCCTTGGTCAAACCTCTGTAAATTGAGAAGATCACAACAATAAGTCTTGTCTAGGAGCTGATCTTTTGTCAAAATTCTTGGCAATGAGTTACAAGGATAACAACTTAGGTTCTTGAGGATCCTGTCTACCAGCTGGTACCATTGCCCTTGGTTAAAGCTCTTTGCAATGATAGCAATTTAAAATTAATTTTGCTATCAAGGCTTGCAAATTTTGCTGTTTATTAAAGACAAGTTCCTAACCAATGATTTCTGTCTTCAGATTTAGAGGAGGCTGCAGCCAAGGTTTTTCGTAATCAATTACTCACGAATCCAAATATCAAACAACCACCAGTAAAACAAATTGGTGGGGGGAAGCTAGAGATGTTACCCTCAGTTAATGTCGTCCAAAAAGAGCCCAGGGTAAGTCCAACATTGAGATGATTGTAAATAAAGGAGTTTGAGGTCCTATTTTATGCACCTGATTGGTCTAATGAAACTTGACAATGCCATGAAGTATGCAATGAGGGAATTTTGTCAAAGACGCCAGCATTAGACAATTTATATTCTGAATTGCGTTACTCTTTTTAAGGATGTTCGTCTTTCTTTGTGACACACTGAGTATTTGTGTATTGCCCCAGCCAACTATGGTACTGCCGACTTGTATCATACTTGACCTGCTTGGATTATGCTATTGCTATTATAGCCAGGTTTGCCTTGCACGTTTTAAGGATGCTCTGGTTGCATTTATGTGGTACACAGAGCATTTGTTTACCTTCTTGAATTATCCTTTACAGCTATTTTATCCTGATTTGCCTTATATGTTTTAAGGATGTGCTATAGTGTCTAACAATATATGTTTTTAAATTTACAGACCCCCATAGAAGACATCAAGCCTGCTGATCAGAAAAACAGTCTTCTTCAACAACTTCTCTCGGAATGACAAACAATGAATTGATGGTTTGTGAAGGCACAATGATACACGTGCATTACATGTTGAAGGATCATGTCATAGGATATGGACACGTGTGCACTTAGGCTCATACATCAGTCCATCTATCAGTATTTGATGTGACACATTGGCGTGTGGATTACTACAATTGTGTTGTCATCATTGCGTGTGCATGTATGTAATTGTGTCGCTTCCAGCAATGCACGTGCATTTTGCGTGAGCTAAGAATAAGTGGCTCAGAGAAGTGTGTTATGTGTCATAAACTGTGTGTTCAGAATTAAAAGAAGGATGGATATTGGACAAATTGGACGAACTTGGGCTTTCAACAAAGTAGCTAGCTAACAATTATTTTTGTAAAGAAAATTAAGAAAAATCCCAAACAAAATAAAATATATTCAGAGTGTTAGAGAAATGAGGAGAACTGATTATAAGAAAATATAAACTAGAGAAATAGACTTGTCTTCTTGCTCAGTGAGGGTTAATTAGTGACTGTGTCACGTGACATTAGACTTAGTGACATGACGTCGTGTCGAATGACGATTTCGTGTGTGATCTCATTTTTAATGTGGAATTTTTATGAAAAAAATTAACACAAATTTCGGACGCGCCTTAGGCTGTGGACGTCTGCTTAAACTCAGGAACTATAATAAAAAGTCACGCCTTAAGTGTTTTTACACGTGATGTCAAATTTAAAAATTTAATTTTAAAAATATAAAAACTTTTTGAAGAAATATATAAACTTGTTAGAGATTCTTAGAGATTTATATTCGTGGAAGAAAAGTGCCAGAACTTTTATTTATCAGATTTTTAAAACAGTCTGGATAATTGTGATTCAGGAATGTTATCCAGTCTGAAACTGGATGTGCTAACGCTGTATAGACATGTAGAGACGTTCGTGAATGGATTATAAATAGATTTGTGTTGTTAATTCTATGATTTGGATTATCTTATGTATGTATATAATGCTGACTATTTGGTGTCCAGCCTGTATTTGGATCTATCTGAATCGCGTAGAATAGACACCTATATCAAAGTTTCGTGGCTAAAATTGTGTAGATAGTGTCTAGTGCATATATTGGACTTGTACAAACTGCTTGTAAACGAAACCAGAATTGGACGATGTTGTTTTGTTAGCTGTTTTGTGATTGGTGGAATATTTTGTTCATTATAGTATACTGTTATGTGATTGGTTAAAAATTTCTCCTATTGTAGTCACATGACCTGCTGTTCGTACAAACTCATTCACCAAATATTCTGTTAAATGGAACAATTTTAGGCTTACATATTTACTGATCTCATATCACTCAAATCCATTATATAGGGCAAACTGCATGCACACTGAAATTAGGCCACCTGCAAATTGCATGTACATTGAAATTAGGTCACCTGCAAACTGCATGTGCACTGAATTTAGGTCACCTGCCTGTGCACATTAAAGTGACTTTTGATGTATATCTTTTTCATTTTCAATCTTTACACTTTGAGACCATTAATATGCAAATTCTAACATCAAAATGAGGGCATGTGAATTACATTTCTGATTTCTGTTTTAAATTGAACCATGAAATAGAATTTTTAAGTTAAGGATCCAATTTCCATCAATAATCAATTGCAAAAAAGGATTTGGCTGTTATGTTATAGAAAGTTTATTTATTGTCCTTTTCTTTTCTTTCCCCAATCATTTTGCCTTTATCTTGTCTATTTCTAAAAATTTCTCTTCCATCTTCTCTTCTTTCTTCTTCTCTTTCTCTCTCTCTCTTGTCTTTCTATTCCTCTTCCATCTTTCTCTCTTTCTTCCTTCTCTTTCTCTTCTTATTCTCTTTCTTCTCTTTCTTTTGTTGTCTGTTAAATTTTATCGCAAGAAATTCTCTTTAATAGTTCAGACAGAGAAAAGCTTAGCCTAATTGTGAGTTTCTGACCAGGGAGAGCTTTATCATTTACAAAGAACTAGATGTTGTTTAGTTGTACAAATACCGGTAAAAAACGTTTACTTGTTGAATTGTTAAGTATTTCTGAAAGTGCTAAGTGGGTATGTTATTTTTGAGGCGATAATATAGAGGTGTTCGCTGACCGCACGCAGTTTGTTAAAACTGTTAAGAAGCGCTGGTACTAAGATGTGACTACGATTCATTGAAATAGATTTGCATATGTCAAACTGTTTTCCGTTTCAAGTACTTATCATGGAATTGGTTGAATTTACCACGAACAGCTGGTAGGAATTCCTTGTCTTATTTATATAGTCCTCAAAATAACATACCTTAATTAACCCTTGAAACATGGCCCATCTGTCCATATAAAAACAGGAACATCGATGAAGACAACTTTAAAAATTGGCACTTGAATTATATTCATCTTCACTTGAACAAATTTTAAATTTAAGTTTTAATGTCTGGATATTAGGATACAAGTGTCAAAACTGATATATCATCATTGTTGTTTTATATGAAGAGAGTCTTGTTAAAAGGGTTAACAGAAATTTGTTATTGTTATTGATTAAGGTAACATGAATTAGTTTCTGCCTTTGAATTTTTTAAAAGCTATACCGGTAGTCTGTTTTGTCAAGTTGATCTGACCAATGAGTAAATTTACTTTAACTGAAAATCATGCCAAATTTTGATTGTTTCAAGTGTGCTCTCAATGCATCATTCATATATTTTGGCATAATTGGTTTTTTAAAGTCTTCATTATCATGTCAGAAAATCATGCCAAATTTTATAGTTTAAAAAGTTGCTCTCAGTGCATTATATAGATATTTTGGCATGTTTTGTTTCACATCAATTTTATTATGAATATGCCTATTATTCATCTGATTCAAATACAGCTCAGATATTTTGTTTCCCTTTTTCTACTTCACTCATTCAATATCAGCCTGTAAGAAACCAACGTTGGACAAAAGGAAACAGAATTTCGAGTCTGTATTTTTTTTCATTTAGGCCTATTATTAGAATGTTGTAAATAGTAATATTGTTTTGTCATTCATCCTGCTACAAATGTTCCAAAAGGCGTATTTAATTTATCGACAATTGCCTCTTTCAACAGCTTCCCAGAGGTGTATTCACCACAATTTATCTCAGTTTTTGTTTTGGATTAATAAAAGCTGCTGATCGAAGGTATTGGTTTGTACAATACGCTAGAGAAAATATATCAGTTATTTCAGAGTTTGCTTTTCTAGGTGTCATATTTTAAATATTGTGGGAGACAGGTGCCCTCCCAGGTAACCTGATAAATCTGGCCTACCCCATTCCTAAGACATGATATATGGATGAGGATATCGGCCCAAAAAGTCACTTATTCATGAGTTGCTCTGACACACTTTTGGGTCATTAGTTTTGGAGATTTTTCACAATAACAAAAGTCAAATTTGGCAGAACTTTTGGTGTTTATAAACAGCTGAACCATTAATAGTACTATCAAGACATTGCCAGATATTTTACCATGTCCCTGTGCCCGACATAGTACCAAAACACAGTTTAAGGGTATGCTTAACTAATGGAGCTGTAAAAAGTAGGGAGAACCCTACCCCTAGGTTCCTTTGTGGTACTGTGTGGGGTACAGTGACATAGTAAAATATCTAACAATATCTTGATAGACTCATTGATGTTTTAGCTTTGTATAGACACCAAAAGTTTTGGGAAATTTGGCTTTTAAGAAGGTAAAAAATTCTGAGAACTAGGTTGGGACAACACCCATAAAAGCTGACAATTTGTGTCCTAATGGTTTTGATATTCCATCCGTATTTCACGTCCGAGGAACGGGTAGGGTCAGGTTCATCAGACTAACTCACTGGGGGTAGCTTGTTGGTACCCCAGGCTAAGCACTAGCTGTAGATTAATACCACCCCATTGGCAGACTCTGTAAATATTTATGATTAAATACAAGATTGTTGTTGATTTTGTCGTTCAAAGTGGTACAGCATCAAAACAGATGTAACCGATTGGTTACTTGTTTGATTTTGGTTACATATGTAAAACTCATGGCTACATATGTAATATTCTTGGCTACATATGTAATATTCATGGCTACACATGGTTAAATGTAAAATATTCATGGTTACATTTGTGAAATTCATGGCTGCATAAGTATTATGATTATTACATGAGTCTTACATATGTAACCATGAATATTACATATGTAACCATGAATATTACATATGTAACCATGACTATTACATATGTTACCATGACTATTACATATGTAGCCAGGACTATTACATATGTAACCATGAATATTACGTATGTAACCATGAATATTACATATGTAACCATGAATATTACATATGTAACCATGACTATTACATATGTAACCATGACTATTACATTTGTAACCATGAACCATGACTATTACATTTGTAACCATGAATATTACATATGTAACCATGAATATTACATATGTAACCATGAATATTACATATGTAGCCATGAATTTACATATGTAACCATGAATATTACATATGTAACCATGAATATTACATATGTAACCATGAATATTACATATGTAATACTCATGGTTACCTGTGTAATAGCCATGGTTACAAATTTACGATTCATGGTTACATATGTAATATTCATGATTATCTTTGTAATATTTATGGTTACATATGTAAAACACATGGTTACCTGTGTAATATTCATGGCTACATATGTTAAATTTGTGGTTACATATGTAAGACTCATGGTTACATATGTGGAATTCATGGTTACCTTTGTTATATTCATGGTTACATATGTTTTATTCATGGTTACAACTTTGGATGTAAAGATTTTTGTAGGTTGGTCATGTTGTTCAGTTGTTATGAATGGTAAATAATGGCCTTAACCATATGAATTGTAGCCTACAGAAATATAATTATATATCTATAATAAATTTATCAAACATTATCTTTACAGTTTTTCTTATGAAACAATTGGTGAGGAATGAGGATGCTGGCAGACTCTGGTTAAAGTGGGGAGAAGAATTTGCTGCCAGACTGGTTTAGGAAGGGAGACAGACAGTTATAAGTAAGGTGAAATATTTGCTGCCAGTCTGTTTAAGGCAGAGATAAATAGATTGCCAGGTTATTTGCCACCAGAGATAGTTATTGGTTGCCAGATTATTTGCTGCTAGTCTGCTTAAGGCAGAGATAATCATTGATTGCCAGGTTATTTGTTGCCAGACTAAGTTATGGAGAGACAGTTATTGGTTGCCAGGTTTTTTGTTGCCAGTCTGCTAAAGGCACAGATAAACATTGATTGCCAGGTTATTTGTTGCCAGACTGATTAAGGCATAGATAGTCATT